CAGTTCGCCTAGACTTTAATTGTATTAAATTAAGTTGTACAAAACTACACTAATACCATTTACCCCAGAAAGAATGGCTATCATTAAAAAATCCAATAATAATAAATGCTGGGGAAGATGTGGATGAAAAGGAACTCTACACATTGTTGGTGAGAATGTAAACTAGTACAAACACTATGGAAATCTGTGGAGATTCCTCAAAAAAATAAAAGTAGAAATTCTATTTGGCCCAGCTATCCCCCTCCTAGGTAACAAAAAGAGTTAAAATCATATTACAGAGATACATGCATACTCATGTTTACAGCAGTGCAATTTATAATAGCGAGATCTTGGAAACAGTATATATATCAAATAACAGATAAATAGATAAGGAAAATGTGCAAATGTAGTATTTATATACAACAGAGTACTACACTGCCATTAAGAAATATAAACTTGAGGCATTTGTTGGTAAGTGGATGCAACTTAAGAACATAATGTTAAGTGAAATAAGCCAAACGCACAAGCTTAAATATCACATTCTTTTTCTTATATGAGAAATAACGTGCACACAGACAGACAGACAGACAGACACACACACACACACACACACACACGAAAAGCAAAATGGAAGAGAGATAAATAGGAAGTAGAAAGATGTTCAAATGCTTCCCCATTACATATTCAGTTGTTTTAAAAACATTTCAATATATATGCTAATTTGTTTCATTTATATGAATAGTTTTTCTCAGTTCATTGAAAAAGGAAGTTTGTACGGGACTTTTTGGGGGTTTAGTTTTTTGAAACAGGGTTTCACCATGTAGTTTATGCAGGCCTTGAACTCATTATATAGCCCAGGCTTGTCTTGAACTCATGGGAATCCTCCTGCCTCAGCCTCCCAAGTGCTAAGATTAGAGGCATGAACTACCACACTTTGCCAAGTTTGTGTTATTATCTTTCTTTTCTGTAAAAATCTTTTTGGCTTATATCTTGTACTGAGTATCTACTTTGAAGATAATGATACAGAGCACAATAACTGTTGTAATTCTCTTATTTGATTATGAATATTTGTTTTATTTTTTCATAAAATACAAAAAAGTAGTACAATATGGTTTTTTTTGTATCCTGCTTCTTTACATCATTATATTTGCTAAATTAGACTAAGTTTTTGTTTGGCAATACTTCATTTTCATTGTAATATCATTCTATTATATAGGCATACCATAATTTATACACATTTTGCTCTTAATGGGCAATTGGGTTGATTCTAGTTTGAAGCTATTATAAATAATACTGTGCTAAAAATGTTCTCACTCAAGTCTTTTGATATATATATATTTCTATTACATATGTATATATAAGAATATTCTTCACTAAATCATAGGATATTCATATGTTAGTTTCATTACATAAAGTCTAACTGTACATAGCTGGTTCCAACAATTTATACCACTGTTACCTGATGGTGTGTCCCATGGGATTCTTTCCACATCCTTGGTGTCCCGAACAAAGAAGTAGAAAAGACACACATAAACAGTATTGAGGGCTGGGGATTTAGCTCAGTGGCAAAAGCGCTTGCCTGGCAAGCGCAAGGTCGTGAGTTCGGTTCCCGGTACCGGGGGGGGGGGAAAAAAAAAAAAACAGTATTGAGATGTACATTTATTGAAGGCAGAAAAAAAGTACATTGTGCAGAGCGAGAGCAGGCTGGTGAACAGATTCACAGTGGTGGAAAGGATAAGGGAAAGGGGTCCTTTGTATCTGGAATTCTTGGATTGACTTCTCCCTTGTGCAAATAAGGCACTTGGACAGTTGTTCTATCAAAAATTCATTCAGCTCAGGGGCTGGGGATTTAGCTCAGCGGCAAAGCGCCTGCCTGACAAGCGCAAGGTCGTGAGTTCGGTTCCTGGTACCGGAGAAAAACCAAAAAAAAAAAAAAAAAAAAAAAAAAACAAAAACAAAAATTCATTCGGCTCAAACTGTAGTGAAAGGCTCACTTGGTTTCACATTAGATATAAAAGAAGAACTGAAAATAGCACTTTTCTGATTGGTTCCACGTATAGTGCTGAAGAACTGTAGTCATTTTATGCCCTGTATTCTGCACATGTGCCCTGAGTCTCCATGACTTTGAAAGATTCCACCCAGTTGTTTCACTGGTTTTGCCCTAGCCTTAATCTCCTACCTCACCATTATCAGTAGCAAGTGAGAGCCCCAGTAACCCCACAACCTCACTAAAACTAAGCATTGTCAGTCTTCTAAAATTTTAACTGCTGTTAAAATTTTGTAATTATATTTTATTGTTGCCTCATTTGAATTTTCCTAATTAATAATGATATGGAGCTGCCCCTAATGTGTTTATTAAGTCATTTGGTTAATGCTCTATCAGCTTTCTGTTACTGTGACAAAAATACCTGAAATAATAAATTTTTAAGAAAGAAAGGCTTATTTTGGCTCAAATTTTTGGAGGCATAAGTCCCTCACTGATTGACCCATTTGCGTTTAGGCCTGTGGTGAGCCAATACAGGACATTCTACTAGCAAGCATATAGAGGAGGAAAGAACTCACCTCATGGTAGCCAGGAAGCAAAGCAAAAGACAGGAAGGGGCAGCATCCCAATATCCCTAAGAGGGCACATCTCCAATTATCTTTCTCCCCTTGGTCCCACCTCTTAAAGTTTCCATCATCTCACAGTAGTGCCACAGGCTGGGGACCAAACTATTAACATGTGAGCCTTTGGAAGCAATGGTTTTCCAACACCGAAGTCTATAAATGAATGTGCATGAGTCTATGTATTACTTTTCTGTAATTCTGAGAAAGAGATTTGAGAAAGAAGAGAAGTTGGGAGAAACTACAACTTGTTCTCAGTCTGCCATCTTGATCCAATCTCACAGCTAAATTTCCAGTCACATATTGAACATTTTAAAATACAAACACAGACAGTTGGTATCATATGATCTAATTTGGAAATCTCTGCTTCTGAGGTGATGTCATATTAAACAATTTAATTTAGTCCCCATGTTAAGACTAGCATCTGCATGACACACGTGAATAAACTTTATTCTCTTTCCTCAACATTATCTCCCATACTTTAATATTAAAAAATTGAAATTCTGTCTTACAGAGATTTCTACACACAACAGCAGTAACTTGAATAATCTTTTTATCAACTATAACAAGACAGAAAAAGAAAAAATTAACTATTCTAAAAATTTTTTCAAGTGCTAAAATTGAAAATAAGAAAAAGCAATTCAGATGATTCTGAATCATTTTCTCTCACTCAACCCTGCAATTACTTCAACCAATGGACTCTTTTGCCAACACTAACGAATTCAGGGGTAACTTAAACCTGATTGAGAGCTGCAATTTGAATTCTAAACTTTGAAATCTAAAATGACCAGATATTCAACAGAAATGTTACAGAAAGACATATAATCGTGAAATAAAACATATTCCTAACAGATCTAAAGAATTCAACAAAGCAGTCTTTAATAGATCTCTTAAATACTTAATGCACATCTAACATGTCCTATTCACTGTCTTACCCAAGGGATACACCAGTGAACAAGATAGACACAATATGTTATACATCTTACATTCTGATAAATACATGTAACTGAGTAACGTGAACTTGGCCTTTCTGACGGAAATTATTAACAGGATAGGTAAATGTTCAAGACAAAGCACAAATGGGTATTGCTCATAGCAGTTCATCACCCATCACATATGTTTGAGAATATTTTTAATACAGATACCTTTAGGTACTGACTTCAAAATATTAGAAAATTAAGATCTTGACTGAGAATGTAAGGAAGTTCATGTGACCTAAAACTTATCTGCCTCAGTGATTCACTTGGAAAGGTAGAAATTGACTAAATTTTAAGCAATGTGCTAGATTTTAGATAACTCTTAACACCTTTTTTTTTTTTCAGTACCGGGGATTGAACTCAGGACCTTGCGCTTGCCAGTAAAATACTCAATTCTTTTTTTGTTTTTTTGGTTTTTTGTTTTTTTGGTTTTTTTTTTGGTACCGGGAATCAAACTGATGACCTTGTGCTTGCCAGGCAGGCGCTGTGCCGCTGAGTTATATTGCCAGCCCCAACACCTCTTAATTTATACCGCCAAACCAAATAACAAATATTCCAGAACTATGGAGATAGGAAAATATTGGGTTTAGAGAACTGAGATATTGATCTAGAGCCCAACACAATACAATGATACTACCTGATACAATAGCTACTAGTCAACTATGGTTATTTAACTTTGAATTAGAATGTAAAATAAACGCAGCCCCTTGTCACACGGCATATTTCTAACACATAGTGCAGATACAGCTCGGGTGGTCCCAAGAATGCAGAAAATCTGACTGGATGTTTCTGTTTTAGATACTTGGAAGAGGCTTGCTACTTCCGAGGAAAGCAAAAAGGTATTCCAGAGTTTTACATGTGACGTTTACAATGGCAAAATACTAGTTTTTTCTCCACCACTTGCTATTTCTGTTTTTGCTATTTCTTATTTTCTTCTCATCTACAAAATGTTTCGTTTTTAACTTTCTCTTTCTTCATACTTTTCCTTACTCTGTCCTTATTCCTAATCTCCCTTCTCTATTTTGTGCAATATTCAGTCCACTTTTAATGATAAGATGCATTTTCTGAAGTTTTAAACAGAAATTCCTCAATGTTAAAATTTAAGAAGCATTACTCAATGTATTTCCCCAAAATATTACAGTTAGAGAAGGCATTTTTTTTTTCCAGTACCGGGAATCGAACTCCCGACTTCGCGCTTGCCAGGCAGGCGCTGTGCCGCTAAGCTAAATCCCCAGCCCCGAGAAGACATTTTTTTAAGGTAAATATCTTAAAAACCTTTTAACGTTTGTATTTCCTTTCCTAAGAACATTATCCCACCAATAGAACGAGTTTCTCGCCCCAGAAATCCAGGATGAAAAGGATATGCAATTCTAGTTCCGGCCTCGGAGTTTTCCTTGCACCAAGGAAAGACTCACCCTGGGCGCTGAAGTCTGCGCGAGACTCGGTGTCGCGGTCGGTCCGCCGAACTCCTACTGCCATCCAGCGGGAAGATGCAGCAAGGCCTCCTTGGCACGCGGCGGTTGCCAGGCGACAAGAGGCAGTGCCCGGCGGGCCTAAGGAAATGGGCCGGGCTTCAGGGCGTTGAGAGAGCGCTAACAATCCTGCTTCTTATTGGCTGAAAATCTCTCCCGCAGTCGCCACGAGCCAATGAGCAGATGGACAACGTCGGATGTCGTGCGACCCCTCCCACCCACTCTCTAGCATCGTCGGGACCGCGGGAGTTAGACGTTGGACCCTCTGGCTTCTCAACCGCTCCATGTACGCCTCGCAGCTTGTGCTGCTGCCGGTGTTCTTCCTGATGCTGCCCGAAGGCGCCCGTCCTCAGCCCTCTTCCTTCCTATCACGTGCAGCGCCCACCTCTTCCGTCCAGAAGCCAGTTGCGCAGGGAGGGACCCTGCAGCCCTCCGCAGTGGGGTCTCCAACTCCCCAGGGCGTTCCTGGGCTCTCCACGATGGGCCCCACTGTCGTGACCTCCTCGGCGCCGGAGAACAGGACTGTGGACCTCTTTCCAGGTGAGGGCAGGGTTGTGAGGCGGGAGCTGTTGACTTGAGATCTGAAATTCGGTGAAAAAAAAAGTTCACTTGCCATAAAGCGAGAACTGGGGCTGTCGGAAGAAAGGGAAATAGTACTTGGAAGCTTTGGGGGGTCCTCAGCCCTCTCTACGTTTTGTTGTGTTTCCACAGTCTTACCGTCCTGTGTCTGTGATTTGACTGTTGGTGCGTGCGATCTAAACTGCTGCTGCGACAGAGACTGCTACCTTCTCCATCCGAGGACTGTGTTCTCCTTCTGCCTTCCAGGCAGCGTAAGGTGACCTGGGGTGCTCAGCTTGAATCCTGAAGGGGATTGGGGCCTACAATGGATAATATTTGGAAGTAGGAAAAGTTAGCTTTAATACTTCCTTGCCCTCTTGGTTTATCCCAGCTATGACCTTTTTTTTTGATTGTGTAGAACAGAGCGTCCAGTGGACGTTGGGTGTTGTGCTGTAGCTACCCAACACTGTCTTTGGCTTCTGACGTCTGCAGAGCACTGTGCTTTAGACCTACCTCTGCCTCCTAAATGTATCCTGATCCTCTTTCCTCACAGATCTTCAAGTTGGGTGTGTGTAGAGAACTCGCTTATCTTCAGGAGTAATTCCCCATTTCCTTCGAGAGTTTTCATGGATTCAAATGGCATCAGACAGTTTTGTGTCCACGTGAACAACTGTGAGTAGAAATGTGTTAGCTCTTATTATCTGACATTTTATTGAGATGTGGCTTTGTCTTTGGCTGTTTCTTTTTTAAACTTTTTGGTTTTGTTCTTTGAATCTGTGTCACCCTTTTTCCTTCTATCTCTTCCCCTGCTCACTCTCACTCCCAACCCCTTAGATAACATTGGCAATTTGCTAGGCATTACAGGCTGAGGATCAGATGGCTCATATACAACTTTAATTCAATACTTTTAATCATACTTCTTAGCTAATCACAGACTATCTCCCCAACTTGCTACAGTCTGCCTAACACACTGTAGGCACCAAATAATAAATGTTTTTGACAAATGTGTCTATGCCAACCTTGATTTTGTTTTGTTTTCATGAAGCAGTAGGGTACAGAAAGGAACACTGGCCTAGGATTTCAGTCCTGCTGGTTTTTTTGTTTTGTTTTGTTTTGTTTACCGGGAATCGAACTCAGGACCCCACGCTTACCAGGCAAGTGCTTGTGCCACTGAGCTATATCCCCGGCCCAGTCTTGCTATTTTCTAACAAGCTCCATAGACTTGAGCAAATCTCTTATTTCTAGGCTCATTTCTCCAGCTGTAAGATGAGAAATTTATATCATTGGCCCTGGTTGTGGAAACATTCTGTAACTGTAGAGTGCAGTAAAGATACACAGTGGTTATTATTTTTTTTTAAATGGATTTAGAAATTTGCTAGTGACAACTATACATTTCTAAAAATAGGAAGCTGATATATCTTTTTAAAATGTCTATCAAGCAGTGTTTTCACAAAAAATAAATGTAAATGTCTCTTAAATCCTGAAAATCAATGGACTGATTTATCTGATTTTAGAAAAGAAATTACAAGAGTATTTTGGTCTCAGAAAACAGTTTTTGGCCTGGGAAGACATGAATTTGAAAACAGTGATCAGGAGCCCCACGACCATTTAAATTGTGAGTGGTAAAAGTAAAGGGAGCAAGGTTTGGTTTGGTTTTTGGTAGCACTGGGGAATGATCCCAGGACTTTGTACATGCTAGGCAAGTGCTCTGCCACTGTGCTGTCTGTACCTCCATCCCCATGAATTCTTCATCTTAATGAGGTTGTCCTTTTCTTTCCAAATTTTCTATTGCTATGTAAATTCTAGATCTGTGAGTATGTTGTAGGGCCGTTACTATAACATCTACTTACTATAACATCCTTTTTGTATTCTCCTCTCCTGCTTCCCATACCGTCCTACACACAGTTCCTAGATCAGCAGCTCCCCAACAACACCTGAGAAATATGGCTATTTCCATAGTAATCGTGTATCATTATGTCAGTGAACTTTTCTTGAATGAGGCTGAGGAATGGATTCATGTGTAGTATGAAAAAGGCACTTCAAACTCTCTGATGGTGAAGAAAAGGTATGATTAGCAATTTGTGATGAAAAAAGGAACATGATAATGCTCCTGTTTGATCCACATCAGATGAGTTTCTAATACAAAATGGTACAGTTTCTGTACCATTGATAAAGATAGAGATAATATGTGATCTGTTCTCCCCAATCTTCCCTTTGCCTCTAAACTTCAACTGACCAATAATATGGGTTAATTTGACTGAAAAGTTAAATAATTGAGATGTTGTGATTATGGAGAATAAAGGTCAAGCTTATTTAATGGGGCATCCTCATTAGCTTTTAGTGACTCAGGTATTGTTACCAGTTTTACTCTGTCCAAGTGACAATAATTATTTGAAGAAAGAAGGGAGCCGGGAGCATGTTTTTGCTCTATTCTTTTTTCAGGTTAGCGACAACTTGGAGTAGGAAAGCAGAGTGCTATCTATCATGTGCTATCCTGCATCTCCCTTGGTTATGAAGTGCTTGCTATAAAGAGGTGGCTGCAGGCACTTGGATAGATGTATACACTGTTCTAAGAGAAAGAATATAATTGTTAGAGAAAAGACCCTTTTTAGGTGTCTGAAATCTTGACTGTAGAATTATAAAGGAAAAGAAATAAAACCAGTTAATCTATACATAGTGGTACCTCGGTTCACGCTCACTTTTGTTCACAAACTATTTGGTTTGCAGACAGAAGTATTTGACAAAATTTTGTTTTTGTTTGCAAATTTTTCTTCAGGTGACAAACACAACTGTGGCCATCTTTCCCACACAAACACAAAAGTGGCCACCTATTCCAAAATTGTAGAACAAATTAAGTTTGTGACAGAGTACTACTCAGAGCTGGATATATTAGTACAGTATAGAACTGGTCAGTTGAAGTTTAGAGGAAACAGGAAGATTGCGGGGAACATATCAGATATTATCTCTAACTTTACCGTATTCCTGTGGAAACAGTACCATCTTGTGTCAGAGACTCATCTGGTGTGGATCGAATAGGACCATTACTCCTTTTTCATCACAAATTGCTAATCATACCTACTCTCGGCAATTAGAGACTTAGAGTGGAGGCGCGTCCATTGATCCTTTTAACAGGTTCCAAATAAGAGGTGATAGAAATCTGAATTAATTATTGTCTCTAGCAGTGGAATATTGATTTGAAATCTTACAGGAAAATATTATATGACTTGATCTGGGTGGTGGCAATATAGTATATGGATTTGTGAAACTTAACTTTTGAGTTTATATTTAGTGCATTCATACATATCACTTCTTGTATTATATGCTTCAATAAATACATTTTTAAAAATTAGTTACCTAAAAAGGAGATAGGTCTTTTGTAAAAGAGAAAGGGACCAAGAGGTGGAGGGTGGAGAATGAGATGAAAAAAAGAATTTAGACGTGTTGTGTACCAACTCTGTACAATGAATATAATCATTATGTAAGCTGAAAGAAATTTTAGTTACCTGGCATGCCAGATACTTAAAAATAAATTTCTTCTTTTATCTAAACTTCTCTTTTTGAAAACATTTTAGCAAATTTAAACTATTTCCAGAAGCTCCAGAAGGTCAATGCAACCAATTTCCAAGCCCTGGCTGCAGAGTTTGGAGGTGATTCATTCATTTCAACATTGCAGTTGCAGCCGCCACCACCCTTTTACAAGGTGAGCCTGAAGAAGGGGATGGAACTGTTCAGTTTTTTCTCTCATAGAAGACAACTGGCAAGGTAGCTTTGTGGTTCTTTTCTAGAACAGGTAAAGGATTGTTGGCTCTTTTGGAGGACAGTGTTACCCATGTAAACAAACTTTTAACCTTTGTTTTCATTTTCTCTGTCTGGTACAATTCAGTCTAGTCTTACTGTGGGAAAAAATGTCTCCTATATTTTATTCAGGCTGGAGATCCCATTCTGACTTACTTTCCCAAGTGGTCTGTAACAAGCTTGCTGAGGCAGCCTGCAGGAGTGGGAGCTGGGGGAGTTTGTGCTAAGAGCAATCCTGCAGGTGAGTCCAGGACAGAAGGACCAGCATTTTTGGCTGATTAAATATGCTTTCCTATTGGCCACTGCCTTCTTTGTGTTTTTAGGTTTCCTAGAGAGTAAAAGTACAACCTGCATTCATGTCTTCAAGAACCTGGCAAGTAGTTGTACCTTGGATCCAGCCCTGGATGCTGTCTCTTACTATAACTTCACAGTCTTGAAGGTGGGTGTCCCCCTCTCCCCACTCTTGTCACCATTGTGAGTTTGAAACCAACATGCTTCCCACTGTTGTGCGACACCAATGAACTTGAAGTTAAAATCTCCAAGAGCCACATAAAAGGTAGAGGGCCTAAAAACCCTATCATCTGAAGAAAAATGAAAGAATTAGGGGTTTATATCCAGGATAAGACATTGTCACTCTCCTGGCTAATAGGATGGGCTTAGGGGAGATTAGGAAGGAGTAAACACCTCACTGTTTCACCAAACTTCTTGCTGTCACTATTCAGTAGAGCTCATTCAACACAGGTAGTCAAGTCTATCCAATCTCAAATCTGTCTTTGGCATATTAATATAAGGAAGAGTGAGGTGGGAGAACAGAAGCAAAGCATTGTAATACGTTTATTTCCCACCACCATCAGAGTATATTGTGGTAATAGGAAACCACCAGCCCTTAGCGATTTTTATGAAAGGGATATGCATATTTACGTCTCCACTCTTCATTTATTCTAGGTGCCACAAGGTGTGACTGATCTGCAGAATATGAAGGTATGATGCTATTTATCCAGAAAAAGGGGAAAAAAATGTCTGGCCTCTTGGCATCTGAAGCAATTTCAGTTTAGATTGTAATAGTGGGGAAAAAATGTGTGATGTATCACAACCAAGTATGGATCTAAAGCAGTAGTAAATATGATTAATATCTTCATATGAAGTAGAGATTAATGTGATATTAGCTAATTCCAGAAAACATTAAGTCAAATGAAGTTACACATTACATTTAAGATGGGCTTCTTGGGGTCTTTTAATGCTAGACACCCTTGTTGATATCTAAGAAAGGAGTGCTGAATATAGTATTTCTAAAATGTGTTTGACCATGAAGCTCTTATTTCAGAGCTAATAGAAGTGTTCTAGAAGTATGTTTTGAGATGTACTGATTTAGATTGACTTCTGAGTTTAAGTCGTAGGCTGGCAATGGAAAGAGAGAAAAATGATGACCAAGGAAAGAATACTCATTTTGATATAAGATATAGCTAAAACAGAAAATACACCTCTCAATTTCGGTTGATGTGCCTGTTTCCCTTACCAGTTCCAGGTTCCTGTAACACTTAGCTCCCAGGCCAGTCCTCCTCTGTTGGCTGGAAACACTTGTCAGAATGCTGTTTCTCAGGTAGGCTTATTGATTTCAGATTCTAGACTGCTACATGTTGATCAGTATTGCCATAGGTGTTTCACCTTCCAGAAAGTACTAAACTAACCCCACATGAAGTTTTATGCATTTCCTGAAATTTAACATGTGAGAAGTTCAGCCTCACAGAACTCACTTTGAGCTAAGGTGTTAAGAGTTGAGCCTTGCCTTCCTCCCTACCATACTTCCCTTATGCCCATTGCCAGCATCCTCCAGTATTCCAGTGACTCTTCTTCCTTTGCCCTGCTGCTGGCTTTTACTGACAGATTTCTTTTGTTGACAAAGTCAGTATCATCTAATAGTTTCAAATATATTAATCAACTTGTTCTTCTCTCTTCTAGTCAATCTAACCTAGAGAAGTAAGAATTATCTTATAGTGTCACTTGACAGACTGTGCTCAGAAACTTAAGTTTACCTTCTGTTGCTTATGACTTCAGTACCCCCAGGTACTGTCTTTATTTATATCCCAACAGTATGAGGGCCAAGTAACCTGGTTTCTGTCCCACATGTACCTCTGATTGTAGTACTTGCCCTCCTCTGCTCATAGGTAAAACTTACTTTTCTTAAATTTATCTCTCCATGAGCTCTTCCAGAGGGCTGTTTTGGTCTTTTTTTTCCATGTGCAAATAAAATTGAAGTCATGTTTATCTTTTTATAGTATTTTTGTTTGCCATATTTAAGACAGGTAAAAAGAAAACCTTCTGTCCTAAACATAATCAGTTCCATCATTTTATTAATTCATTCTTCTTTTGCATTTCAGGTCACCTATGAAATAGAAACCAATGGAACCTTTGGAATCCAGAAAGTTTCTGTCAGTTTTAGACAAATCAATCTGACTGTTGAACCAGTTGTTTCCTTACAACAAGACTTCATCATTCACTTTAGGGTTAGAGCCCTTCTGTAAGGGATCAAGAGGGCAAAAAGTATCTGGTTAGAAATAGCTCTCTGCTTCTGTAGTGAATGCAAAATAGTATAAGAATATGAAGTCCAGAGCTGGATGGGGTAGTACACCCCTGTAATCCCAGCACTTGAGAGGCTGAGGCATGAGGATCATCTGCAAGTTCAAGGCCAGCCTGACCTACATAGTGAGTTCAAAGCCAGACCAAACTACATAGTTAGACCTCAAAAAAAAGAGTAGAGAGTCCTAATACAATCTGTCAAATGTGTCAACATTTCTTAATTTATCTATTAAGTCGTTGCTATTCAACACATATTTATTAATATTTTCTCTTGACTGTCTGGCTCCCAGCAAAGCAGCACTCAAATCAGAACCCTTAATTTTAATGGTGACACACCTCTGTAATCTTAGCACTCCGGGAGGCTAACACAAAAAGATTGAAAGTTTGAGGCCAGCCAGGGCAACCTAATGGCTCAACAAGATAGTTTCAAATAGCTGGGGAAGTAGTTGAGAAGGCTTTGTATTTAATCACCAGTACAGAAGGGAGGAGAAGGAAGAAAATCAGACCTCTTTTTTAAAATAGTCGTTTTGAACCATAAACTCAGCCAACACCCTGTGGGAATTTTTAACTAGATTTTCTTGTGTTTTTGGACATATATCATTTTACTTCCCCACTGAGCCTGTTTCTAGATCATTACCTTTTGGCTTTCTTCTGTCTTTCCTCTTTTTGAGTACAGCAAAGTTCTGCGTGATCAGCTAAGACCTATGTCTCACAATTCATCTGTAGAGCATCTATACTTTATTAAAATGTATTTTTAATTACATTTAAATTCCTCTGGTCTTAGCCAGACAGTACATACCTATAAAATGATAATAATTTTTTGTTTGTTTGTTTTCCAGTACCGGGAATCGAACTCACGACATCGCACTTGCCAGGCAGGCGCTGTGCCACTGAGCTAAATCCCCAGCCCCATGATAATAATTTTTGAGAATAAGGTTAAAAGATCCTTGGTAGATCCTTGGTTCTGAATTAGCGTATAGTGAGTTTCAACATTTAGTTTACTCAGGGTTTATTTAGTGAAGGGACTAAAAAAGGAAACACAAATATAAATTACAAAGTGCTACACTGGAAGGAAGCCAGATTGTTCATTGCAGCCCATGTATTGCATTGCCTTTAAGAAAGATAATGAAGCCAGGCAGTGGGAGTTGGGAAAACATGCTTCTCACATTTGACTTTTCTTCACTTTCTGCAGGCTTTTCAGCAAAGCACAACTGCTTCTGTTCCTGTTCCTAGAAGTGGTAACCCTGGCTATATTGTCGGGAAGCCACTATTGGTTCTAACTGGTGACGTCAGTCATTCGGTATCCTTTTTTTGAGCTGGGTGGCCTGTTGCAGCTTAATGAGAACTGTTGCAGCAGCTGATCTGGATTTTCCAATTGAGTTGCTCTCATTCTTTAAGTATTTAAAACAGCACTTTCTTTACCAAATATTGTAGGTGCTACAAAACACCCAAAGCTTTAATATTAGACTCGCTAAATGAAGATTGTACTGATTTGGGGTTATTTTAATAAGATATTTTAATGTATGGTGAACCATTTTTTAGGAAAACAGTAATTGTATTTTTTTAACTACTAAAGAGAAAGAGCAGATTTTTTTTTACTTAAATATCATGATATAGTAATAAAATATAAATAGTGTTTTAAGGAGACTGAAAGCATAAATCTTCCAATTGTGCCTACTTTCTTTTCCTGTCATGATCTCCTTAACTATCACTTTTCTATCTCAGATGACCCTCTTGCAGAGCCAGGGAAATGGAATTTGCTCAGTTAAAAGACATAAAGTACAGTTTGGAATGAATGCAATATCTGGATGCAAGTTCAGGTAATTCTTCACTTCTGCAACATTCCCCATAATTTTGTTACAGCTTTTAGAGAATATATTGATATGATAACTTTTCAAATATTTTAAATGACAGTTTAGAAAATAGTTGGAATAATCTTTAATAATACTTTATTGCTAAGAGTTTCTGACAGCCCTTAATACCTACTAAGAATTATTTCCTATAATCTGTAGTGCTGTTTCTAATGTTTGGATTAATATACTAAGGGGGTTATACTGTTTTTACCACTGGACATCAGACACCATACTGTTCAATTACAGGCTGAAGGAGTTGGACTGTAGCAAGCTGCAGAACGAGATTTATCAGATTCTTCACGGAGGCCCCAGACCAGAGCATGTTGCCATCTTTGGTAATGCTAACCCAGCTCAGAAAGGAGGGTGGACCAGTATCCTCAACAGAAGCTGCAGTGTTTCAGTAAGGAGAGAAATACACTTTCTGACAATGACTCATTTTCTTCTAGTTAATGGTTCACCATACATTAAAATATCTTATTAAAATAACCCGGAATCAGTGCAATCTTCACATTTAGCCAGTCTAATATTAAAGCTTTAAAGCTGGAGCATTTCTCATTAATTTGTTGGTGTGTAGTTGTCCAGAAGCATCCCTGATAATCTGTATTTCCATGTTTTCAACTATAATGTTTCCTTTTTTATTTCTGATTTTATTTATTTGGGGCTTTTATTTACTTGGTTGATCTAGCTAAAGTTTTGTAGGTTTTTTATATATAATTTTTTAAAAACTATTCATTTTGTCAATCTTTTGTAGTATTTTTTGGTCCCTGCTTATTTCTGCCCTGATTTTTGTTATTTCTTCTGATTTTAGGTTTGGTTTGTTCTTTTCTAGTTCTTTGAGTTACATTGTTAGGTTGTTTACTTGAAATCGTTTTATTTATATTTTTTTGATGTTGGCCATCATTACTTGGATGAGCTGTATTTTTTTAGGTCCATGTATTTGTACAACTTCCAAAGTTCCTCATACTGATTTCTAGTTTTATTCTGTGTGGCTAAAGAAGATAAATGATTTTGATTTTTCAAAATTTGTTGAGACATTTTGTGTTCTTGCACTTCCTGCAGAATGTTCTGTGTAGTTGAACACCTTTATCTGCCATATCTCCACCCAGCTTTGCCTTCCATCACTGTCTTTCTGTGGTCACATGTTACTTATCCAGGTTCTGCAATGTCATCCTGAGCCAGAAATGGCTGTCTTGATATTTCAGAATAATGACTGTGTACCGGGCATGGTGGCACATGTCTCTAATCCTAGCACTCGGGAGGCTGAGGCAGGAGGACTGTTGGGAGTTCAAGGCCAGCGTGGGCTACAAAGTAAACTCAAGGCCAGCCTGAACTGCATAGCAAGCCCTGTCTCAAAAAGAAAAAAAAAAACCCAATAGTGATTCTGCATTACTCACTGAGCATTTCTTACAAACATTGCACATTTTGTTAATTTCTGTGTTGGTAATTTGAATGTTCAATTATAATTTTTTAAGATAAAGAACAATAATATGGTCTGTTGTGAATCTGTGTGTATTTCCCTTAGGCCATACTGCCTTCTGTATTTATAAGGCTTAACAGATAATGTCTCAGTAATACATCATAAATGACTATAGGCAACCATCAGGCCATTCAAGCAGGTGTTTCTTTACCTTCTGCAGGCCATGAACTGTTCTTCCTGCTGTTTCATACCAATTTCTCTGGAGATCCAGGTGTTGTGGGCATATTTAGGCCTTCAGTCCAACCCACAGGCCCATGTGTCAGGAGCCCGATTCCTATACCAATGCAAGTCCATACAGGTAAGTCATGACTTCTAAAGAACCACTAAGCCTTACATAGTCCGTATTGCTTTATCACTCATTTAATGATCTGATTGTTTTTTAACTTCTGAGAACCATTTTATGTTACCAATGTTTGCTTAGAGTGAGCTGACCTAGTTAATTTTCAGGATCCTCCCTGCTTGCTTATTAAAATGTTATCATGGTGCATACAACCTATATCCATTTTTTCTCAATATTTTTAAAATTTCTGTCCCAGATTACAGTGTAGGGTAATTTCTTTTAAATAATTCTACCACTATTACTGTATTGATTAATTGAACCACAGAATACACATTCTGTAAGTATGTGTTCACTCTGACAGTGACACAATTATTAGAGTCTTTGAGCTTATAGGTTGCCATTAAAATTAGTGGTACGATTAGTTTATGGTCGCCAATTCTTAGTTCGTTGTATTCTATTAAATTAGTGCCTTAATCTGTAAACAGATATATATTAGAACTTTAGCTTTACAACTTCAAAAGCATGTTATTTTCATTTTACTTAAAAATGATTAGGTCATAGTGAAATGATCCATGTATAAACTTGTGTGTCAGTTTATTAACTTTTAATGAAAAGTAAAACAAATTGAGATTCCTGTCTTGTATTATATTTACATCCCAGAAGGTAAATAAACTTGAGCCTACATTTGGGTCAGAAGTAAAATATCTTTACCTCTCCTTCAAAGTAGGGTTAGGCAACTTGGTTCTCTAGGGCTACAAATTAAGATTAACACTCAGGTTACTAGAAACTGTATTACTAAAAGTACTCCATTCTTTCCCTAAGAAAGGATTGGCGTTTTTTAAGATTCATTTAATCTGTTACAAATCCTGCACTGAATCCATTTTCAAATTTTCTAAACTATACTTTGACTATTTATGAGTTCCTGTGTTTTGGGGAAGGCACCCACAGGAATGTTCTTTTTATTTTCCAAATTTTCTGATTCTGAATTAAAGCCACTCAGTGCCTCTTTCTTCTAGATATTTTAACCGAAATCTTTTTTTCAGTAGTTAGCAAAAGTTTGCTTTTCAAATTACTTTGCCTTCCCTACAAAACCACGTTTTACATTCAGTCTTCCTGGCCTGAGTGACAGTTGAGTTTCAGTTTTGTTTCATTCATGTACAACTGGATATTATCTATTCCAATGATGAAGTAAATTTGTCCTGAACTTACTGAGAAGAAGGGTAATATATAAAAAACCAGTCTATTACATAGGGTTTTTAAAGAATTTGTGAAGATAATTTTGACTGTGTAAGTTTTTTACTCTATGGCCTGACTTGACCAGCTCATCTCCACGAAAGATGCCATGCCCCTGTAAAAGTATAAGAAGTTATGAAATAGTAGTGTTATATTACAAAAGTTAATCTTGGGGTATAGCTCAGTGACACAGCATCTCCCTGGCAAAACATGAGGTTGTGAATTCAGTTCTGGTACCAAAAAAAAAAAAAAAGTTAATCACTTGCAAGTACTTTTTTCTAAATAAAGATAATTTTACCACCTATAGGGATTTTGTTTATTTTGTTTTTGGGGGGTTTTTTTGGTTTTTTTTCCCGGTACCAGGAATCGAACTCACGCCCTTGCACTTGCCAGGTAGGCGCTATACCGCTGAGCTAAATCCCCAGCCTCTATACAGATTTTCTTTTATCTCTTCAATCTTAAATGGAAATTTGCTCTAAAAATCATAGGGGCCAGGGGTGTAGCTCAGTGGCACAGCGCCTGCCTGGCAAGCTCAAGGCCCTGAGTTTGATTCTCAGTACTAAAAAAAAGACTCTATGAAGAAATCATATAAACATATTTACTCACTTTTTCTTTATCCTTTAATTTTAAATCATAACCACACAGGCTTGTCTCTGAGGATTTCTTGTGTTTTTTTTGTTCTCAAAATAGCAGTAGTTTATCCAAAGAAAGTTAGTGTATGTGTTCCATAGCTCCCAAAATGAAAAATAGTCACACTTAAAGAATCTGTGTATTTTGAGGTTCTTCCCGTCCCCCACTATCATTCTTTGAAAGCTTATAGTTGACAGTGGTCTCCCCTAGGCTGTATCACTCTGCTCAGTGTGCCTGAACAGTGATATAAAACGTAAAGCTGAGTTGCAAACCAACACCCTGCTGACGTATTCACCCTGTAAATCTGTTTTGTTTGGCTGCAAGGTGGTTTTTATTTTGTTTCAGCTTGGTTTTTAGTTATTTTAATTTGTGCCAATATGTAAAAATCAGAAAGTCTTACCTAGACATCCAGATGGCTACTCTTGAAAATCTTAACAGTATAGACCCTATTCATATGTATCACCAAGGGAATCACCTGCATTTCAGATTATCTAGATCTACTGCCTATAATAGATGTGGCAAGCATGGGTTTGTTTGTTTGTTTGTTTGTTTGTTTGTTTGTTGAGATAGGTTTCACTATTTAGTGCAGGCTGGCCTTGAACTCATTTTGTAGCACAGACTGGCCTTGAACTTGTAGTGATCCTCCTGCCTCAGCCTCCCAATTGCTGGGATGACAGTCCTGTGCCACCACAGCTGGCAAGTATGGGCTTTGAGTTGAACAGGTCTAAATCAAGTTATTTTACTTCTCTAATTATAAGTTTTCTCTTCCAGTTTTATAAATTAATCATATATATAGAATACTCAGTATATATTGCTCATCATTATTACTTTTGTCATCATAACTTCTTTGGTTCCAGGCTTCCATACAAGTAGCATATGAAGGAGATTTGATGAAAAATAGAAAAAAAACAAAAATAGATATTGGAGCAGTGGATTTTATACATCATGACCCGGCTTACAACATACATACATATAAAACTGAAATACATTTTTATAAAATCATATCTTTACTGTATGCAGTGCATACTGTGATATTTTCTACTCTATTCTAGTTTATTCTGTCATGGGTTCCCCGCTCAAAATGCTAGACACAACCCAATAATCAGTCACAATTTGCTGTTTAAAAAACACTTAGAAGATTCATCTCTGTCTGGATTTCAAGACTAATTATATTATTTCATACATTTATTTATTATAATGGAAAATTGGCTATGTTTTATATCTGTAGACAAATACAAAGCTAAAGAAACTACTTTTTTTTTTAAAGTACTAGGGTGATCCCAAGGGTGATTTATACTAAGTTATTTACCCAACCTTTTTATTTTTTATTTTAAGACAGAGACTAAGTTGTCCAGGTTGGCTTTGAATTTGCAATGCTTTGGCCTCCAGCCTCCCAAATAGCTAGAATTACAAATGTGTACCACCAGGCCTGGATGGTTTTAGTGATTATCATGTGGACCCCATTGAGAATGTGTTGAGAATTACTGATTTACTAGAAAAATATACAACACTTTTCATATAGCTTATAGGGATTTATTGATGTCCAGAAGCCAGGACGTCTAGTATAGTCTCATAATGGAAAAGGCAGTATACTGGGAAAGATAAAGAACACTAAACAAAATAATTTAAGAGTAATTCAACATTAAATTTTAGACATAATTGCTACAAGCAAACAGGCTGACAAGTGGTAAGAAAAAGTTCTGTTTCTCCTTTCTGTCTATGTCTTAGACAGTATCAACTGACATCTCTTCTGAGAAGGTACAGCAGTGAACTTGACCACCATGACTATCAGTAGAGTTTCTGTTACTAAAGTCTTTCTTTTTCTGAAGCATCAGTAACTATTTTCCTTTATCTCTTAATGAGTTATCAGACTATAAAAATACTTTTTTCTACCCATGGATCTTTTCCTTAATACCCTGTATAGAAAATACTCACCCAGTTTATTGGCTTTTTAAAAATTATTTAACTTTTTTTAATAGAATTTTTTAAAGTTTATTCAATGTTCCATGTTAAAACATGTAACCTAACACATGAACCACATTACTTCTGTAACATACTCATTCTCTGTGACTCACTGAAAATTCTAATACCTTCATTAACCTCTTAAAATGAGGAAATTTAAAGTCTTGCCTGGGCTTCTTCATCAAATATACATTTGTCCTTATTGAAAAAGAGTAGATAAGGCAGGAGTGGTCATACATGCCTGCAATCGCAGAACTGTGGGAAGCTGAGGCAGGAAGACCACAAGTTCAAGTCTAGCCTAAGCTGGGTAACTTGGCAACTTAGTGAGACCCAGTCTCCAAATAAAACAAAAAGTGCTGGGGGTGCTGGGAATTTAGCTTAGCGGCACAGCGCCTGCCTGTCAAGTGCAAAGTCATGAGTTCGATTGCCAGTACTGGAAAAAAAGTGCTGGGAACCTAGCTCAGTGGAAAGGCTCTGAGGCTCTGGATTCAATCCCCCACTACCACAGAAAAAAAGAGAACTGGGATTTGTATTTTAATGATTTGATGTAGAACATTAGCATATAATAGCTTAAAATTGTGATTATAAAGATGTAACACAATAAAAGGGTTTTCATCTTACCAAAGCTAAACAAAACCTGCATCCAAACTCTGCAATGTTACAAAGTAAATCTTATTTAGGGACAAAGTATTTTGCTGTGTTGTGAATTGATTGGAAGCACATAAATCCCACAAATCTCAAAGTGATAAAACAATTGTTGGTGGTAGTTTCTGGAGTAACATAAAATAATACAGCTTGAAGTAAATATAAATTAAGTCAGCCATACGCAGTAGAACTGATAAAAGAAATGTGCTGACGTGGCTATGTGCCCTTTGTCTGTCCTAATGAAAGAAATGAGGCAAACCGACTCGGAGGGAGTTGTCTTTGCAGTGCTTACACACAGAATAGTGAATTCTCTGTAATTTTGTCTATACAAACTTTAAATGGAAAACGTTACACTTCAGAATTCAAATATAACAAACCAAACTTAACTCAAAATTTCTGCATGTGGTACTAAACTTAGAATGTAAAATGGGCCAATAATGCTCAGTATTTCCAGTGACCCTGTAAGTGCAATTCACTTCCTTTTAATTGGATAATAGATAATGGTCTGGCATATGTCCCAAACCTCCCCACAATTATGGTGCCAATTTACTTTTAATTTTAATTGACACATAATAATTGTACTTTTTTTTATCAGTGCTGGGAATTAAACCCAGAACCTTCATGCAGAGCTACATCCCCAGCCCTTTTTTAAAATTTTGAGAGAGGATCTTGCTAAGTTACTGAATTTCCCACACTGAGCTCAAACTTGTGATCCTCCTGCCTTACCCTCCCAGAGTGCTGAAATTACAGGTGTCAGTTCAACTGTACATAATTATGAGGTACAAGGTGGTATTTAGATACATATATATAGTATATAATGGTCAAATCAAAATAATTAGCATTTTTATCACTTCAAACATTTATTGTGTTGAAAACATTCAAAATTCTCTTCTATCTCAAAATACACAGTAAATCATTAACTATAGTCACTCAACTGTGAACACCAGAAATTATTTGTCCTATCACATTGTATTTTGATACCTATTATTTATTCTATTGCCCCCTTACCCTTCTCAGCCAAAGAAATTTTCTTTATGAGTGAATAAGTATTTCATTTGAAATAAAATGAACGTATTTCATTAAAAAACTTATTAATAAATATGTGAATTAATTAAGCACAGCCTTCAGGGATCCTCCTTATTGTGTGGTGGGAAGTTTAAAGGGTCAGTTAGATCTGAATCTTAACTGACACATGCTTTTTATCTTGTGATAGCTTATCATTTGTTACTTTATATTAGTTTATCTCCAGTAATTTTTTTCTTGTATTGTTTGTTTGGTTTGGTTTGGTTTTTTTGAGAAGGGTCTTGCTAAGCAGTTCAGGCCAGCTTTGAACTCACTGTGTAGCCCAGGCTGGTTTCATATTCACGGTGATCCTCTTGCCTCAGCCTCCCAAGTGCTGGGATTACAGGCATACATCACCACACTCGGCTCACAAAACTTGCTTGAGTGCCTCACCTCTATTAAGAACCATGCCTGGAGCTAGAGCGGTGAACAAGGTAGATATCATTCCTGGACATTGTGAGGCAATAATACTGTGGGAGGTTCAGAACACTGCCGGAGAAATTCACTGAATTTCTGGGTATGCTGGGACCTGCATCCAGCTGGGGCTGTGAGGGCTTTGAGTAGAGGGAACTCCGAAGATTTAGGGTGCCACAGGTAGTTGAATGCTTGGATGTGGAGATGGAGAGGGAAGGAGTCAGGGATGATTGGAGAGTAGATGTTTTTAGTTTGGGTGTTCGCACAGGTCTTTCATATCTTGGATGTGGTACCCTGTTGACTCTCCTCCAGTGTATTTTGCTTTTGCACTAACCCATGCATTTTCCTCCACCTCTTCCCCCATTTTTGGTGGATATACCTGAGCTTTCTTCTTTTCTACTTTTGCATTGCCTACAAAGTACCTGAGAGTGTCAACCTTGAGATGAGCTTTACCATTGATTTAAGGGTGCAAAAGGATGAAAGACCATTTCCTTAGAGGCCATAAACAAAACCAAAAAAAGATAGCCAATCTCTGAAAAATTAAAGTCTCATCACCTCCCTCACTATCCTGCTTTCCAGAAATCACTCTACCCTTTTGTCTCTCTTAGCTGTTCATTCTGGTATTTACCTTGATTTCTGTGCACCATATATACATAGCTTTTGAGTTAACAGTTTCAAGGATAATGTATTCACTTTCTATTTTCATGAGTTCAGCTTTGTCACTCTTCTACTCATCCCATCGCCCTCCTAATGTAGTTACATCAAAATACTTTATTAAACCAACATTTGGTCTTTCATTTTTATGAGACAGTAGCTCAATTTTTGTGAAACCTTTTATTTTTCCTAATAATAATAATTAACTCATATTTCATTCCTAGTTTTCTTTGGTCCAGTGGCTAAGACTTTTCATACTCTCCAACAGCTATGTAAATGTCTCTCCGTGCAGTTTTCCTAACAGTTGAACTTACCATAAAATCTATCAGTTCCACTTTTTCCTATGTATTTTCTTCATAGAGACCTCCATAACCTGCTGTAGTAAGGACTAGTTACTACCCAACACTTGTCATGGAACTTTACTTCATCTTGGGAATTGTTCTTACTTGTACAAGAGTCACTGTTTATTGGACACTACATTTGTTTTACTGTCTTGTTTTGGTGGAGCTCATATTGTAATAATCTTTAGAAAAGGTTCAAATAAGTATGTTTTTTTCTTTAGTTCATGTCTAAAAATAACTTTATTCAGCCATCATCATACATCATTATCATGCTTAAATGATCATTTGGCTAGGTATAAAATTCTAGATTGAAAATTTTCACTCAAGATTTTGAAGACATTCTTCTCATGTCTTCTCATTCAAATGCTACAGTTCAGAAGTTATTGTACTATCTGCTTTTTCAGACAGGAAAATAAGGGAGCAGGATCATAGGTTCAAGTCCAGCCTGGGCAAAATAGTAAGAACCTGCCTCAATATAAAAAATAAAAAAGGAGTTGGGGTTGTAGCTCAGTGTGAAGGCACTGGATTCAATCCTGACTACTACAACCAAAAAAAAAAAAAAAAAATGCTTTTTATTCCTAGTAGTCTTAAATTTCCATAATATGAAGTCTTTTCTTCATTCATTATACTAATGATTTGTGGATTTTTTTATTTTTGGAACTCAGTTCTGCAAGATTTAGTTTTTATTACATGCTTAATAATTTCCTCATTCTTTTCTCTTTGTTCTCTTTTTTGGGGACTGTTATTAATCTGTACAACTATTATGTGCCAATTAAAAAACTTTTTTTTGGTACTGGAGATTGAACCCATGGCCTTCACACTGAGCTGCATCCCCAGCCCTTCATATTTATTTTCAGACAAGGTCTTGCTAAGTCACTGAGCTGCCCAGGCAGAGTTTGATTTTGTGATCTTCCTGCCATAGGTTCCTCAATTAAAATTTTCTTAAAATTTTTAAAAAGAATTAGGCAAATAGAGATCAATGTATTAGTTCTGTTACTAATAAGCACTAGACAGGTAGGTATGGCTTGGGTATTTGGCAGTGGGTTTCCTCATGCAATACTACTCTACTCTTCCATCATGAGGCCAGAACTCCAACTCCAGCAGCAGCTTCTTGTGTCTGCTGCTGAAGGCTCTGAAAAGAGTCAGAACAGCACTTTAAGTTAATTCTTAGGCAACACTGAGCCCAAAACTGAAAATCCATTTCCTGTTCTAATTTGATCCCAAAGTATTTTTATCTTCAGTATAGCTCACCAGGCATTCTTTAAATAGCACTCAGTATACTTCAACAATATCAGATTTGCTTCCAAAAAATTGAATATAGAGCTTTCCACTATAAAACCTCCGGGGAAAAGTTAAAAGTCCTAACAATCCTTTGTAAATTAAAGCCCACTAAAATTCACAGCTTATAAAACTCCTAATTTTCTTTGGTTAGGATCAGTGAGTTTTTGATGCCTGGCTAGAATCAGGAGTCTCTGCAACTTCCTTCTTGGCTGGCTATCCTTGGATGTATATGGCTCAGCATCTCAGAAAATTTGTCCTATGCCAAGTCACTTACAAGCTTGACTGTTTATAAAGAAAAATCCAAAGAACTAATCTTACGTGTAAGATTATCCCCGCACTGGCTATACACAGTTTTAAAAACAAAGTAAATACAACCCCTGCAAAAATTATTCTAGACAAAATTACATTCCTAGAGCTTGGTCTTTACTGTGTTCAAAGACCATAGCAGGTAATACATGCGTCAGAACGGTGGAAGGTGAATAAAGAAAGTCTTCCTTCTAGGTTCCACAGGATAGTTCTTTACTATCAAATTGCACCCAGAAGTTTGCTTGGTAAGCATAGAGTCAGAACAGAGGGACTTTTTAGATGAACATGATTCCGTTGTTTGACATCATCAGTGGCAGCCAAGTCCAAAAGCCATATCTATTAGATTAGATACTTATGTTAGCCTGACAAGGTCCTTTCTCCTGGGAACATCTGTTTTATTTTATTTGAGTTGGTGGGTGGTTGGGAGGATCCTTTCTAACCCTAGAAGTCTGTGAATCTGGTTTGGTTTGGTTTGGTTTCTGTTTAAGTCTACTTTACTGAGTTCTTTTGCTTTTTCCATGAAATTTTACCTCTCTTTCTACAGTGAAATTTCACCATACTTCACAGCTTCCATTAGTACTTGTGCATTGTTTCAGAACCTGCAGGCTTCTGAGACCCAATAGAGTAGAGCTGCTAAGCACATAACAGTGGCAGTTTTGCCCTCTTGCCTCTCTGGTATCAGGGAGCTCCCCAAGTGAGTATAACCCAGTCAGTCTTTAGTTATGTACAGTGATTCCTTGGTTAATGAACTCAGTTCTCTCCATGATTCTGGTCACAAACCAAACTGGACTAGAACCAAATCAAATTTCCACATATACATTGAACCTAATCACTGAGTTTGATTCAGTTCTTATCCAACTCAGTTTATGACCAGAATCATGGGAAGAGTTGAGTTTGTGAACCGAGGTACCTAACTGTTCACAGTTCTGGCATCATGAACTATTGCTACAAAACTCATTTTCTTATATCTCATAGGAAGAGCTACATAGGACCAATATGGGTGGGGGAGTGGGGGCAGTGTGTCTTTCTTAAAGCAATTTGTTTTTGGTCTTCATGAAAAATAATAGAGCCAAGTTGGAAGCCTACATGAATGGGTATCAAGCAATAACCTCACTCACTTTCTTTCTATAGGTTTCCCAAAAAGGAACAGAAGTATCTTTGACAACTCTTGTAAAATTTGTGGATATTACACAGAAACCAGACCCTCCAAGAAGCCAACCCAGAATGGACTGGAAATTGCCATTTGACTTCTTCTATCCTTTCAAAGTGGCGTTCAACAAAGGGGTAGACTCTCAAAAAGGCTCATCTTCTCTCATCTTTATCCTTTGCCTCTTACTGCTTGGAATTCTCAACGTAGAGACTAAGTGAAGAAAGAGAATAATAATATTTCAGTTTTCCCTGTGGGAAGCTCTGAGGCAGCCTGCTTATGTCATGGCTATATAGATCAGTCTATACTTGCTCATGACCAAAGGAGGGCATTTAGGAACACATAACCTAGTTGAAGGAATATTCGTACACGAAAGAAGTTATTTAGAAAAGCAATAAAGAGCTGTGGATGGTAGCGCATACCTGTAATCCCAGCACTCAGGAGGCTGAAGTAGGGGGATTGGGAGTTCAAGGCCATCCAGGACTATATAGCAAGACCTTGAACTTAATAAACCGGAAGGAAAGAAGGAGAGAAAGGCAATCACAATATTTCATCTATAATAGCTATCTGCTTAGGGCTGTGTAGGCCACTAGGTACACATTAGGTTCTCTTCTCAAGCTGGGGAGACAAAGCGCTTTCTTCTAGCCCTTGTGGTTGTATTTTACCTGAGTGTAAAGGTTTATAAGAAAATCTACCTGCTTACAAGCATAGTCAGGCCCTGCACGAAGAACACGCTTCAGCACTCACCCAGACTGAACTCAGGAATTTCCTGACTGTTCTCTGGAGTTCAGAGGAGCTGACTGTTGAGGCCAGAAAACTGCTAGCTGTGTATTTTGTCTAGCTTCTTTGCCAAGGTGGGGCCACACTGTCCAGCCATGAGTTGGAAAAGTAATCCTTTCCATTCGGTTTGCAAAATGAGTGTGGAATGCCAGCTCTTCTTTCTGCTAGCAAATAACCTTACCATTCATTTCTGCTCTTCTTCTCTTCATTGTGAGGGGAGAGAAAACATTGGTGGCTCTGTAATACTATAATCCAGCAGCATGGCAAAAATTAACAGCCCTGTGATGTGCCTTGCAGTTTGTTGTGTTTTTCCTATGTTTGTGAGGTTCAAAAAGAAAATTGGCATGGTTACACACATCAGTAATCCCAGCACTCTGGAACCCTGAGGCAGGACGATCACAGGTTCAAGCCCAGTCTAGGCAACTTAGTGACTTAGTGTGGTCCTGTCTCAAAATATAAAAGGGGCTGGGGATATAGTTCAGTGTGAAAGCCCTGGGTTCAGTCCCCACTACCACAAAAAAAAAAAAAAAAAATGTATATATATATATATCTTGCACAGTAGCATTCAGTTAAAGGGACATGGAGTCTTCTGGGAGATACTCCAAAGACCCCAATTTTATATTAGTGACATCATGAGTGGGTTCAGTATGCAATCTTTTTTTTTTTTTTTTTTTTTTTTTGGTTTTTCTCCGGTACCGGGAACTGAACTCACGACCTTGCGCTTGCCAAGCAAGTGCTTTTGCCGCTGAGCTAAATCCCCAGCCCCAGTATGCAATCTTTTTTAAGTACAAGGCAATGACAGCTTAGGAAGGGCATTGACTTTCTGATCAACTGAGAGATTCTAGCATCCAGAGAAAATGACTTGAAAAGGTAACTGTCTGTTACTGTTTTTGAGTAGAGAGGAATTGGTTGAAAATTATAACAGAAAACTTGGAAAGCAGGGAGCATATAATGATTCATGTTGTCCTTGTAATTGAAGGAAAAATTTTGGTGGTAGGTATGTCATTAAGTTTATTTTAAACTGTAAATTCCTTGTGTAAGAAATTCAGTATTTAAAAAAAAATAGGATATAATAGAAGAACCCTAGTGAAACATGGCAGCGTAAGTTACAGCTCCTCCATGGCAGTTCTTTGGGGAGGCTGACATGTGGCGCGGGATCACACCTACTCAGAGAAGCAGATGCTCAGTGTGGCCTAGCTCAGTAAGGGGCAAGCTCTGAGGAGGAATTGAGAGTGGAGCTAACCAGGCAGCATGGGTGGGACTAGGAGTGGGAAGGAAGAGGAGATCCCAGGACCCTAGAAAAAGCTGAATGAAGACCCAGGGGTTACAGGCCAAAGGATTGGGGAACTGAAGTGATTGTAGTAGAAACTGGACAAAACAGCGAGGATGGGAATTTATTATGTGGGGGCTTGAAAGCTAGGCATTGAGGACTGGGAAACAGTTCATCTTTTTTTTCCTCAAGCATATCAATATTCTGACACTAAAATTGCCCTCTATAAGGCATAAACCCTACTTCATGAACAAAAAGTGCTGATTACAAACACTGTCCCTGGCTGGCATATTGTTTTGATACATTTCGAAGACCGTAGACACTAATGAGGTTCCCTGGAAGAGGCAGCAGTTATTACTAAGCTGGAGGACATGCTTGCATATGGGGAGATGCTGCACAGGGAGCCCTGCGGCAGTTATTACTAAGCTGGAGGACATGCTTGCATATGGGGAGATGCTGCACAGGGAGCCCTGCGGCAGTTATTACTAAGCTGGAGGACATGCTTGCATATGGGGAGATGCTGCACAGGGAAGGTGGGAGCTGGGAAGGTGAAGGTCCTGTCTGCACCAGCATCTGTTGCACAGACGTTACCTACCTGAGCAACTCTTTTCTCCAGGGAGGTTTGTGACTGCGCTGACCACACGGCTTTTGGAATATTTAGGGTCTCCAGGTTTGTTTTAATAGGAGATAACTGTGTATGACAACTCATCCTAGATCACGGGGCAGCACACGCCCAATCCAGTCACAATGGACTATGAGTCCTGTTCAGAGTCTGGCCCCTGTACTTCTTTATTCAGATCCTATTCCCATGCCTCGGTGCTATGGGACCATTCTGGGTTTTGTTTGTTTGTTTGTTTCCAATAGGAACAGCTAGTAATTTTCAGAGGTAGGGATGTAATCGATGGTAAAATATTTTAAGGAAGATCATTAGAAAAAGGATATATATCTATTCTGAAAGTACCACTCTCCAAGCTGCTTACCACTGACAGAGAACTCAGTGTATCTGCTCCCTGGACTCGTATGTGCGTGCCTCCTTTAGCAAGTGACCAGTCCCAGCACCAAGGAATCATTGATGAACAAAAATGTGGACCTCGGTCCTCTGAGGTATTTATCCCATTTAGAAGCACAGTGGCCTTTTGGAGTAAAAATCATCAAGTACAGTTTATGGTTGTGAATCCAAGGCTCATGAAGGATCTCTCCTGTGTTCTGCCTGGCCTTTAACTTGGTTTGCTGGTGTATATCTTTCTTATCAAGTGAAAAAGTTGTTCCTTGTGATGCAGTCTTCTTCAATCAACAATACTGTATCTTCTCTTATTTCCAGCAGTACTTAGGACCTGGAATCCAATGACTCTTGTTCTTTTTCATCATCCTTATCACTAAAGTTTTCAAGGCTGAATTTGAGGGAAGGTACTCAAGCAGGTTGTGCCACTCAGCCAGTTGTTCTTAGTGGCTCTGCCCCTCGTATCTGTCAGGGTCATTTTGGGTGAGCAGGTTTTTGAGATGGAGAAATGCAATGATGTCTCTGCATTTCTGGAATTTTTGTCTTAAGTCCGTAAACTCTAGAGCCTCAAATTGAATACAAAAATGAAGTCACTGCTGATCTCTGGCTCTGGTACTTCATCCGTGTAGCGCCTCGGTGCGGGAACTGCATGCTTCTCAGACAGGAAGGCTGGACTGTTGGGAGACTTGTGGGAGTCAGACAAATTCTGACAACAGGAAAAGCCAAAACCTTTTGTTTCCCATGAGTCCTTCACTTTCTTCATTCTCTCCGTCTCTTGCAGTTCCCCGGACATCATGAGATTCCTCTTGTTTCTGATCATCCTGAGTTCTGGTTCCATGTGGAGCAGAGCTCACGTCAGGCTTATCTAATGGGAGGGCATTATCAAGATGTTCTTGTAAGTAAAGCCTGTGAGTATGAACATCTTCTAAGATATTCTTTTACTTAAGGGATGTCATATGCCCAGAACTGTTCCCCTACCTAAATCTAAGAGGAGTGCTTCAGGTTTGTCTTCCAGTAGCTCATAGTTCAGCCTGAAATCCAGGTGACTCTTGTTCTTCTTCGTATCCTCATCACCATGGTTTTCTGGGCTGAACTTGAGGGTGAAGTGCTTGGCCAGTATGTGCCATTCAGCCAGTTGTTTTTGGCGGCTCTGCCCTTGGTGTGTGTCAGGGTCATCCTTGCTAAGGAGGTCCTTGAGATTCTGGTGGAGGGAGAAGATGACATTTTTCCATTTCTGGAATTTCTGCCCTAACTGTGTCAAGTCTAGGTCCTGACTTCAATTCAAAATGCTGGACTGTTGGGAAACCCCAAAGGAATCAGACAAGTCCTGGCAACTGGAAAAAGCATTAAACGCTTCATCCAGTGAGCCCTGCAACACTTCCGTCATTTTCTCTCACTTGCAGCTTCCTGGGTACCACAGGCTCTTCTGCTTCCTCTTGTTTCTGATCATCGTGAGTTTTAGCTGCAGCTGGAGGGCGACAGCAGTGGCGCTGGGAGGCTGCTGGCTGTCAGGTTACAGGGACTGGAGGGAGTCTCACAGCCTTTATCCTGAGTCCTGGCCTGATGTCTTGTTCTCCCTCTTGGTGCAGTCCCTCTTAGCTCAGCCTGGGCACCGGCAATTGCTGTTCTCCACTTTTGTCATCTTCCAGGTTTTCTGGGTTGGGGTTACCGACAAAGTGCTCTGCCTACCTGCACTCATCAGCCAGAAGCTGTTGGAGGCGCCTCCCTGGCTGGTGTTAGGCAGCCATGGGTGAGGAAGTCCTTGAGATGCTCCTGGAGGAGAAGTGACACGTCTCTCACCAGTAGCTTCTGTGTTAGCTCCCACAGCTCTCATTCCTTCTCTTGTATTCCCGCTTTCATTCCTCAGCTGCTCAGCCAGTGCCAGCGTCTTGGCCAGGTCCCACTCCTCAGGATCCAGCCTGGCCGTCAGCAGAGTCATTGTTGTCTTTGATATTTACACAAATTATATTTCTGCAGCTCATTGTCCAGGGAGTAAGGAGTAGCGGTAGGTGTAAGAAAACTTGCTTTGGAGTCTCAGAACTGCTTTTTAGTCTCTTCTAGCTGAGACTGCCATTTCCACAATATTCATTTCAGCCCTTGGATCAGGTGAAAGGCTGAAGGATACTGCCATGGTGACATCAGTGCCCGAAGAGTTACATTCAGCAACTTTTCACTTCTCCAGCTAGTAGGAGCATAATAACAAGCTCCTCATGTGGCTGTTGCGTCCTCAAACATTAGGCAGTATAAATCGCTTTAGCCCACCTGGAGCCAGGAGGTGGTAATATTCTGAGCGCTCACCGGTCATTACCATGAGACAGGTGTTGTAGCCCATCTGAGAACTCCAGGACTACTGGGATGATGGTTTCTTTGTTTCTGTGTGCACAGTTCCCAGCTCAGCACCCAGCATCAAGGAGGCTCTCAGCTGTGCTCACTCCATGAAAGAATGAAAGTGATTGCCCATCTGCCATCATTGTGAGGAAATTTCTGCCCACATGTCCTGTCAAGGATGAGCTGCTTCTCCTTTCTGGGTTCCACCTGCTCTACCGTTACTTTGTACATACTGGGGAATTTTCATCCTCCACTCTTGCTGACTTTCTTCCATTGGCTCCTTCAGTTCTGGTTTCTTGGGGTGTGGGCTCGGGACAGGCTCCTTTTCCTTTAGACCAGTTTTTTTTTAAATTACAGAGGGAAATGTCTAACAACAGGTTTCTTTCCACAGTGGCTATTACACTAGTGCTTTAGTAACAGGCCAAAGTGGATGGCAGCAGTGTGAAGTCAAAGTCCCGTTGGCTATAAGCCAACCCAGGAGCAGTGGGCCAAACTTAATAACTGCTGTACACACGCCTTCCACAGGAGTATGAGGTTGCTCCAACCTAGCCTCCCTGCATGCCTACAAGCAGACCTTGACTTGGGAGCACTTGAGAGGCTGAGTCAGGAGGATCTCTGTGAGTTTGAGGTCAGCCTGCACTACATAGTGAGTTCAAGGCCAGCCTGAACTACATAGCAAGACCTTGTCTCAAAAAAAA